CCCCACTTCTTTTTTTTCTTCTCCCCCCCCCCCCCCCCCCCCCCTTTTTTTCTCTTCTTTGCTACAAAACACCCACTTGGCTCCCCATAATTTGAAACTTTAGTTGCCTTGGCTAAGCTTAATCGTCCCCCTATACGATTTTCAATCTCACGGGCCACCATTGGTTATCCGGGGGTGTGTATATGGGTCACGGGAGGAAGAGAGTCATACCGTTCTGTCAACTTCTGAGAAGATTCCTGGTGATTGAATGATGAAATATTACAAGTTTTCAACTTTGTTTTGGATGGTAATTTACTGCTGTCAGTTCTCTGAGACGCTGTCTTCTTTTTCTGTTACATGCTATGCCTCATTTTTTTTCCAGAGACCTACAGAACAGGACATACATATGGGCTTCCTACATTTAAGCGCCCTTTTTCCTCTCGTTGTACATCCCCTTCATCTCTTCTCTCACTTTCTTCCATCTAATTGTAAATAACCCACCACCTTTCTCACAACTCCACCTCTCCAAATATCCACCATCTATTTTAGCATACGAATTGATATCCGTAAGGATATAAGGATACTTTTAGTTTTGCAGTGTTCAAGGCCAGAGTGAAGCGGGGAGAGGCGAACTTCAAGATTGTTGGAGCATGTTTTATATCCTTCGAAACTTTCCTCCACGCACAAGTTGGTTAATATACCTCCCTGACTTACTATAGCTCAGCCTAAGTTATGAATTACGATTATACAGATAAATTCCAACAGGCATACATAACAGCTCTGCCGTTGTTTTTCATCGTCGGCCTCTGACGCAGGAAGCGTTGATACCCTTCAGAATGGGTTAAATCTTCTTGTATTAAAGGAAGCTAGCTAACTTTACTCACAATGTCACGTGATTCACCCGTGCAAGGGCCTTCAGATGAGCCACACCGATGACTAAGCTGCCACCAACCCCGACCAAATACGGAAAGGTGTTTTTTTTCCCGTTCCGTAACTAACTTGGCCCACAACTCGTTAGGTGATGATTCATCACCGCATCATCACCCAACATTTGGAACTTCAATCCGCGGCCCAACCACTTATCACCGCAAGCAACCATCCTTCCATAACGATTCTTCAAAATTTCAATCCCTCTCACTCAATAGAAAAAATACCAACGCAAACCATCGCTCTCTTCAAAGCTCCCCTGTCCTTCACTCGGCTCTGCAACCATTGCCAACCGCAGATTCCCCTACCATTCCTCTGCACCCCACACCCCTCCACCAAAAACCAGTTTTCCCCCTCGAAAATTACGTTTTTGAAATCCCCCCACCCAACCATCTAGGAATAGACCTCTTTTCTCTCTGTTTCCTTCGTTACCTAGGGCGCAAGGAACACCCCGCACAAACCATCCGCCGTCGTAACGTTCAGGCTGACGGTCAGATCAGAGCCTAACCATTCACCGTTATCCACTTCGCCAGTGACGGAATCCCCGCGACAATACGCTGTCAATTCCCACCGGCTTTCTTGATATCTCCCTTCTCTTCTGCCGGTGACCCAGTCTGTGTAGAGCGCGTTCAAAACAGAAAATCCCAGTCTGAGGCCTAATTTAAACATTATATCCGTATATCCGTATATCCTTTCTTCTAGCGCGGTATCAAAGTCTCCGGTTCCCCTGCGCCTGGTATTTCGTTTAAATTTTTTGGGGTTTTATTAGAGACAAGCAATTTGAATTGGTTGTGACGCTGTTATCACCATGTCTTGGGCTGGTATGTGCTTTTTGACATTCTTTGTTTGTTTCTGTTGCTGGAGTTACAGTCATGTGTGATTGTGAAGTGGGAGGTTGAGGCGTAAGATATAGCATATATCATGACCACGACATTTGAGGATAGTCATTGTATATGATACGAGAGGTTTGATTGAGGTAATTGCTAATTGAATTGGGAATTGTGCATTTAATAGGATTTAAAAAAAATGTCAATCGGGCGACGACGCAGGTTATGATGAAGACGGGTGAGTTTTCTCCTTATTTCCCCTTCTGCTTAGCATTTCAATTGAGCTGGGTTTTTGTTGTCCCTTTCAATTTGAAGTTATCGTTTTTGTATACTTACAGTTTGTGATGCATGCAGGGCATGTGGAGAGGACGAGTGATCGAGACTACGAGGTTGAAGAGAGGTATGGACGATTTCTTGCAAGTGGAATTAGATACGAACGTGCTACGAATATGCTTTAAGTATTTGTTTGGCTGATATGCGTATTGCCTTTGGTATAGACGCTATCGAACTATGGAAGCAGCGGCGAATAGGCTACAGAAGGAGGCAAAGGGTTATTTGGATTCGCTGCGAGGTTTGTATTCAATGCCTTTTCCCCACTTCACACCTATTGAGTTGGATTATTAGTCGTATGCTAATAGAGGAGAATAGCGATGATGGCATCTCAAATGCGCATTGCTGAGACAATAGATGCATTTTATGGCGATGCGGGCGCCAAAGATGGGGTCAGTCGGAGCTACAAGCAGGCTGTCGAAGACCTTGACGCAGAAACAATTAAGGCACTTGATGGGCCATACAGGTACGGAATATTTTTTCAATCCACACCAGCCACAAGACTTAACCTCTTCGCAACCGCAGGACCACCGTCTTGGAGCCCATATCCCGCTTCTGCGCCTACTTTCCCGACATAAACGAATGTATCAAAAAGCGCAACCACAAACTCCTCGACTACGACGCCATGCGCGCTAAAGTGAAGAAGCTCGTCGAGAAGCCCGACAAGGACCCAACCAAGCTGCCCCGCGCCGAAAAGGAGGCCGAAATGGCGAAGCAGGCCTACGAGCAGCTGAACGACCAGCTCTTCAACGAGTTGCCGCAGCTCATTGACCTCCGTGTTCCATACCTGGATCCGTCGTTTGAGGCCCTTGTCAAGATCCAGTTACGGTTCTGCGCGGAGGCGTACTCGCGTATGGCGCAGGTGCAGCAGTATTTGGATTCGGATACGAGAGAGCAGTATGCACAGGGCCGGTTGGATGATCGGGTCGAGCAGGTGTTGCAGGAGATTAGGGACTTGAGCATTGCGGGGACGGTTTGAGATTCTTTTTGAACTTGGGTTTTTATTTTGTTTTACATATTTGGTGTGTATTTATTCTTTTTCCTTCTTGTTCTTCTCGGATGATGCAGTATTGCTTTTGGTCGTTGTTGGTATCAAGGTATTTGGGAGGAGTGGTAAAGGCCTATAATAGCACGCATACAGGAAAAGTACTATGTATTTTGGCTTCTTTCTTTTTTCCCCCTCCTGGTCCTTTACTTCTGATCATGATTTTGTTTCTCGGGGTTCTGGAATCAGATCAGCTGCTCTTTGAAATGCCTGCCAATATATTACCTTTCACCACCTTCCGTTGTCTTCCATTACATCTATTCTTACAGGCTCTACGCCGTCCAAACTTTCTCAGATACCCTTACTTGTGGCTTTACATACATACATCCTAGATCGTCGTGCGATTTGCGCACGGAGCGGCCGTGTCTCCACCGAATCACCTCAACCGATATAACTATTTACTACACGGGATTTTCTAGGGACTTCTGCCTATTACGTACCGGAAAGTGCCAAAGGGTAAGATGTGAAAGGACCAAAGCGGGAGAAATACGGCACCGCTCTGCAAAACATTGGAACTGACACTATAGAATTCGTTACCCTTAAGAGGAATAGTCTCCAAGACATGAGACGGCAAATCAAACAGAAAATCCAAATCAAGGAAACAAAGTTGCTCACTAGCTGTGATCTTCGCGTCCCTGGGATAACTAATTCCATTCGATTCGAGGCCTTATCCTTTCCGTGCTCTTGCTGCACGGTATATCGGTTGCTTCTGCTCTCCTCGGCGTGCATACAGCAAACACCTTGCCAAGAGACGCCGTGAGGGAAGCCCAATTGACCAGTTGAATAGGAGGACTGGCAAGCCAACTTTTCAATTTTTTAAATCAGCGTTTGATTGGTCAAATATGAATCATAATCATAAATTGTCATAATATTAAGGTTGTGGCAGAAGGTTACGAAGAGTTGGTCCTGTATATTTGGGAAGAATTATATCTCCTCTCTAACTGCACAAATCCATTGATGTATCCTTTAGGGCCTTGGGAAAGTATGCGAAATGGCCATGGAAGATTCATATTTTAACTGAGTGCAAGGGTTTCCGATGCACTTCTTTGCTGTGCTTCCAAAAAATGCATATTCCCCAACTTGACTCGGGAACTTTGTTCAGACTTTCGACATTAGCTAACTACAAGGTTGTAATTTATGTAATGATTTCAAGTCACGATGTAAGTATGGTATTATGGAATGCAACTTCGTATATAATTATTTTTTGTACGCAATTCAAACATTCCCCAAGCGCTCATTTAGCTAATGCAAAAGATAATAATACTCTGAGGTGTTAGGATCATCATTATTGCGGAACTCGTTCACACATTTCTTCAGATGAGAAGTACAAATCTTGAAAGCAGTCAGATAACCAGGTAGTTTTCTTAAAAAGCAATTAACTGAAAGACTGAAATGTTCCATGCTGTGGCTCTCTGCAGATCTTATTCAATAGAAACCACATTTGCCGGTCGGAAAGTGCTTATGTATTGGGGATATTGTGTTCTGCTTATGGAGTATGTGCCTCGAGAAATATGCACCCCGCATATTGATTTTTGCGGATAACTATTCGGAAGAAATCAACAAATTATGAGGATATCATATCATTATATCTGTGTGACATGCGATGAAACCTGTTATCAATCTCATTTTCACAATTTTATTTCTTTTGTTATTTGTTTGTAAATAGAAGCTGCATTTTTTTTTTTTTAAAAAAAAAAAAATTAAAGGTGTGCAACGATTCAGGTACACTTTTCAATAGTCTCTTATGCAGCTAACTGAGTGGATCTTAGACATTGCTGATATGTTCTAGTCGTGAGGAACAAAGTTTAAAATAGAATGGTATTCAAACCATCAAGCAAAAATGGGGAAAGATGTAGAACTATTTATAGCTATATTAGGTTGATAATTAATTTCTTTTATAGGGTATCAAGCATCCAAAATTGCAATATCTTAGAAAATTGGGTAGTATTATACATACATACAATACAAATGTAAACAAGGAAGTCATAAGGAAAACTGTTTGATATAAGTGAAAGTTGGGTCTGGTAAATAAAGAAAGCCACTAATTAGCACATGTGAAAGTGAAAATGAAAAGGCTAATTCAGACAGTGTATACATCAGTAATACTGTGTGACAGAAGCCTGCGAACAATATACACACACACACACACACATGCTGAAGAAAATATGATAGAATATAATGAAAAGTAAAATGTAAGCATAATATGCACTACTACGGCGTATGGAAATACTCTGCGGGGAAACACCGGATCAAGAAAGAAAAGTGAGAGGTTTTTGGTAAAACTTCAAAAGTGAAACGAAAGCGAAACAAGACAAGGGGAAAGAAAAAAAATACATTGATAATCATAAAATATGTCAGTAATATCATGTATCCATACATATCATTAGAAGCGAAGCAGTTCACAGGAAACAAAGTCGGAAATGTAGATGAAGAAAACGAGGAAATTATCCAGATAATGAAAGAGGGCGGTAAAGAGGTAAGTAGTTAGAAGAAAACCAAGATGATAGAATAATAGGAGAGACCAAGTCATTGCAAATATAGGAATGAGAAAACAAAAGTTATGATGCTATCTATTTGACCCCCATGGCGTTGACGATAATTGGTAGGTGGTGGTGTATACGGATTTGGCTTTCTTCGCGGATTTCGGAGTTTACACTTTCGTCCCGCTCTTTGTTAGGGTGGAAACAGTGGGAATGTTGTTCGCATGCCAATACCGGCACCACACAATGCCAAAACAATTAACTCAACAGGGGTTGGGTGGGACTCGATGAAATTGGGAGAGAGATATGGATATAAAGTTGAACTTCATCACATAAGCCGCCAGTACTCCGCCAGTACTCCATAGACCGTATTAAGCAAAAGCTAATGAAGGTCTTGAAAAAAACCCACTCCTCATCGTTGATTTTCAACACAAAGGAATAAGGCGTAGTAGAATATTAGTCGCTGAGCTGAACATATACCAGAAGGGTCCGCCTGCTCCGTCACTTCGTTATGTTTCTCGTATGCTGGGGCGCTTCTATCAGTCGCAATTGCGGCACTTGTTGAAGATCGTTTGGATTATTTGGAATCTCCAAGTTCCAAAATGGTTGTTGCATACATCCTGTAGTGAATATACTTTCGTATATCAAGCTGTGTTCTCTCTTCCAGCTCCAGAGGTGGTTGGTGTAGATTCTCCTCCATTATTTTCACCGGCTGTCTTGCTCAATATAAGCGGTGTCTGAGGCCTAGGACTAGCAGGTATGGGACTTGATTGGTTTATGCCTCTGAACGAAAGCGGTAATGACATTGGAGGAGGTGCGATTTGATTATCTAGGATTGTACGCGGTGTTGATTCCTCAGGACCCGAATTCAGTGCTCCTCCTACAGCAGCCCCCGTGCTCGATTCAGCTGGCGGTCGCGGAGCTCGATGGACTCTTATATCCTGCGTTTGAGAACCCAGCGCATCTGGATGTTGCATATGGCCCCCATAACCCGCTGCTTCGGGAACTTGCTGCCTTATTGAAGGTAGAACTGAAGCCTGAGACTCGGTTCCTCCTGGCGCTAGTGGTGTTGGGTGGATTCCAGGCCTTGGTAAATCTTTTCTCAAGGAGGGGTATGTTTCCCCTCGAGCTTGTGCTGCCATACTCCGTCGCTGCATTTCGGCTTTACTTGGCCGCCCTCGTTTTCGTGGGGGTTCATTAAAAAAACTGCTATCGACACTGGGAGATAATTGTTGCTGTGTCCGAATATCAGTGCTGGAGTAACGCCCAGGAGCGGCAGGCTTAGGCTGAATTGCACGATGGCCCGATGGCTGTTTATCGAGTGGGACAGGGGGAAGAGGACGTTTTCTTTCCCCTGGAGACATTTGAGGCGGAGCGGTTGGGCCAGGGAGGCTGTGTCGGTGTTGAGCAAGGTGACCATACTCTTGGGCCATCTGATGAAATGCATCTTGACATGTTTTCATGGAACGCCCTAATATACCGATGTCAGTTTTGGTGGTGGCGCTAGTTTTTCGCATGAGGAATTATATACGACTGCTGTGGTGGGGTGCTTGTTTGCAAGTGCAAAATTTGTCGACTGCGCTTGATGGACATCCGTACCTGGAGGGAGTGGAATTTCTGCGAAGGCAGGGCTGACCTGATGTTCCGCGATCATGTTATAAAGGAAACCTGGAGGGATTCTAGCCTTTTTGATGATCTCTGTGAGGAGATAAGTCTAAAAGATCAACCATCAGTTGATTTTGCGCCATGTATTGACCAGATCAAAAATATATCCAAACCAGGTTAGATGTAAAAAGATAATATGAGCCGTACCTTCTCCTCCTCGGTCCATATATCGAGTGGATTCGACATATCCAGTGCGTCATGAATTGGGAGAACGGCCAGAAGAACACCACACTCTCGTCCCCAGGTTTATTTTTTTTTTTTGACTTCGGCTTATTTATTTTGGATTGGTCCAAAAAAAATACTTGGATGAATAGAATGATTGGTGTAGAATCGACGTCAGGGAAACGGGCATTAGTCTATGGGGTGTTCTCCAGCAGGGGGGCCAACAGGACCGCAGGAAGCGAACAAAAAGGCATACAAGAATACCAAAAATAAAAAATGGCCTCCCTAGAGAGAATTGGGCGACAAACCCAGGTCTCTAAATGGAGATGTATGGGCAGGACCTGGGCCCGGAACAAACGACGGAGTGAACGTTAGGTCGCGATTCACGCGCAACAAGAAACAAAACGAATGGCGATATCGTAAAATAAACGACGGGAAGAGCGCTCAATTGAGGATTAGAGATCGCTGCAGTCAATGTAATCGTGATCGTGAAGAGAATTGGCTAAAAAATTTCATGAACATGAACGGACATCCACGGCACTGAGTGAGATAGGATTCGCACGTGTGTTACGACAAGGTCAATACGGAATACGGAAGGATATATGCTGGCCGTTGAGAAAGAATATCAAGTCATCAAGGTACAGAATAAAGGGATTTAACGAGAGTTTAAACAACTGGTTTCGCCTGGTCGGGGGTGAGAAGGGGGGGGAGGTGGATTGTGTCAGGTCTTTCTTTAAATGTCACTGGCCGGATAAAAAGCGTCAAAAGAGAGACTGGAAATGAAGCATTGGGAAAAGGGGAGGGGAACAGAAAAGACAAAGAGGCGGGGACGAGAAAGGGGGGAAATGGGAAAAGAGAAGAGAAAGAAATGGAGAAAGGAGAAAGAGAGAGAGAGAGGGGAGGAGAGGAGGGAGAAAAGAAGGGGGTTGAAAGAAGTGGAAGAAGAATTGAAGCTTGGGATAGAAGAAGAAATGGAAGAAGTTTAAATGAGGAGAACGATGCAACAACGAACAGCATAAGACAGGTACAGGTAACGTGAGCAAAACTGCAAAACACAAGCACCGCGGGAAAGATTTGTAATTTCTGGCAATAATACAATACAGCCAACAACGGATGGTATGGTACGGTATATACTAGGACATACACACAAAGTATCACGATTCCATATCTGCCAGCAACAACCACTTCCTGCAGGGATGAAGTAGATTAATGATGGCATGGGAGGGATGACTCCCTCTTAACTGTTTTCCGTTTTTCTTTTAAATAAAAACAATTCTCATATCAAAATAAACACAAATGCTAAACAAATGCAGAAGCAGAAAACAAAATGGAATGCAGGTACAGGAAGAAGTTGGAGACGCAACTTTACCTCTCTTGAGAATTGATAGCAGACCAGACTACCCCGCCGCCCGGCCGACTGGTTCGATATATATATTAAAATATATCCTATTGACAAGGGAGGGTGTGGTGTGTTCTGTGGCCCAAACAGCCTGCGAAAGTCATTCAACGTAGCCAGTGGCCAGGCCTTATGCGAAATAAGTCAAGTAGTCTAAATCGCGATTGGCAACCAAGAAAGGGAGGGAAGTGCCCTGATATTTAAGCCCCATCAGATTTTATTTTATTTTTATTTTCCCACGCCGCTGCAGGAAGGCGTGCAGGGTTAGTGGGTTGCGTCTCTTTTTTGTCTGTTAGTCGGGGATTATGAGAGCCTTCGTTGTTGTACATACATATCCACCTCTTTGCAGGGGATAGTAAAGAAAGAAACTAGACAAAAATAAAAGATAGAAATATAGAAGAAGGGCAAGGGAAAGGAGGAATTGCCAGAGGGAGCTTGCAGAATATCAAAATATTAAAACATTTTGCTACTAGTGGCATGTCCACCCCTCCGCACCCTTCCAGGTTTGTTGATTTGGTACCTCTTTAGTCTTGATATCTCATTTATCACTTGGCGCGACTCACAGGAAAGCAAAATAATAAAGCCTGGATGTGGCTGGCAGAGTATTCCTCGATATAGTATCATGTCCGTCAGCATGATGAATCTTCTTGATGAACGATAATAACAACAAAAGAGCCCCGCATATGGAATCCGAAAAGAGAGGGTGTATTGGACTCATGGCCATCAAATATTTGAATAATTGGTGTTTATTTTCCTTGTGAAAATATTCTATGTCAGAAACGCTAAACATTCTCTAAGCGGGGTTCTTGTAGCTCGGAATCCTCATTTGTTCACTTTATTAGACAGCAGCGTGTTTCAAATAATGCTGTTGAGAACTATGGAAGGCACCGGCCAGTGGCGCGAGCGGATATGCCTGCTGTACCCCCGCTGTCTATCGAAACGTGCTGTTTCTGTAAAACCGCCAACGAATCAAAGTGGCGGGAAAGGAGCAAAATCTGCTTCTTTTTCTTCATTTTTTGACGCGGCTGGGACCAGTAGGAGGGAGTTTTAACAGGCAATAATGGCGCCGGTGAAGGATACATCGAGCGATTCGAGCCTGGTGGAGGCTTCAAGACTTGAACTAAAAAAAAATGCTCGTCATCGTAGCCACTGAACTAGGGACTAGGGACCCTGAATCAGGAAACCAAGAGAGCCAACAAGTCGATGAATTCTCGCATTACTAGCACCTGGCAAAAGAAAAAGGAAACATCCCTGCTTGATTTGCTGGCATTCTTTATAAATGATTTATTTGACTTTGGAAAGTAGTAGGCCACCAAAAAATACACACATATTGCAGAATGGAAGCGCTTCGATTTGCTCCAGAAATCCCCTGGATCGTGGTCAGTTTGGTAGACATCCTGAACCTGACGCTTCTGCGAAGATTCGGACTGCTGCCCAGGGGACGGAACCATGAATGTAAGATCAGATCCACATGATTTTTGTTTTGTTTTGATGAAGTGGACAGGCTCAGTCAGGTTGACACAGTAGGAGCATTTCGGACTAGCGGACTAGCGGATTGGGTGGAGAGCCAGCGACGCAAGTAATTGGAGGGGAATATGGGGAGGGGTTGTGGAATGGCTTCATGCAGGCAAAGACGGGCGACACGATGCAGATTGGAGCTGCACGCTGCAGGAGGACAAAACAAAGAACCGAGGAAGAGATTATTGGACAAGATGGCATGCTGCAATTGTAAATTGTAAGCATCAAAACAACAAAAAAAACAACTCATCCGTTGGTTAGTGTCAGCATCGATGGCAACAGCCTTAACTCCTAATTAAGAGCAAAGAATCAGCGGTTCCAGAACGGATAAAAAAAATGAACATGAGAAAGAAAGAAAAAGATGTCTAAGGTACGGTCTGTAGGTAACCGTTGACTTTGCTTTGGCGTTTTTGCCTTTTCTGGTGCCTTACGGTGCTCCATATATGGAGTATTGAAGGGAACATTCCCCGTATGACTGTCTAAAAATCCTAGATCCTTGGATTTTATGTAGTAAATTACGTCGATCGTATACAGAAGCATGTTAGTTGGGTAATTCGCAATTCCACCTGTACACCATATCAGCACGAGACAAACTGAACGAGAAATAGAGAGCGGGCAATAGGCATACTATCCTGGCATACCATCGCGAGAACGTCATTGATATTCATTGTCTAGCATCAATAATCAACGAGGGTTTGGTGTTCCACAACGGCAGCACGTTTGGGATCAGCCTGCTTAGAGGCGAGTTGTTTCGAAGGCAAGGAGCAATAGTAAGGCCGGATACGCGAGGTAGAATACCTACCGAGCATAGAGTGCACAGGGACCGAGTGTCGGCAAACGATCTGCGAGGATGCAGAGTAAATTTAGTAGTGTAATAAACGAAGAGAAGGGTCAAACCCCCGAAAAATTCAATGGGAGGTCAACGTCCTTGAAAAGATAAATAAACAGTTGAAACCTTGATGCACAATGAAGCTGAATAAAATGGACGTTGGTTTCTGATCAACGGAGAATAATTGGAACGGAAGAGAGCAGCAAATAGAAACATTATAGGGAGTATGGAAATAATATTTCACATCCTGTAATATATGTATGTATGTAGTCGGATACACTAGTACATAGAGTACAGTACAGTACATTACATAGACATAAGAATAAAAGCCACAAGAGAGGTAGCAACTTACGACAAATACTATACAGATCGCCTCTCATCAAAATCTGCTCTTCCCAACCTCATCCGATCAAAATGGATTCATGATTGCCCAATCACATTGTCTCCACAGGTGCGACAGCTTCAGCCTGGTGGATTAAAATGGATAGTGTCGCAACTCTTGTCGATAGAGTCATGGACCCGGCCGGATTCACACCTAGGTTTGGTCCTCTGCAAACATGGTGTGAAGCGATGATTGCGCACACACCAACAGTTCATTTGCATCAATTTGCATGGGCATGGTTTGATGTCTCAACTTTCAACTTTCATGGCGCGGGCGATTCCAAGTTACCTCTCTGAAGCCGTTATCGATGATCCTTGGTCTACAGTGCTCCGTTGCCGTAAATTAAGCCAGGGACGCGAACGTTAGGTTACCCTCTTTTTATTTTAGCCTTTGCGGGATCCTCTTGTGCACGCGGATCTGACCGCACCAAGCACGGGTGATATAAGGTTGCCTTTGTTTATTTTGCTTTCTCCTTCGTGGCTTTTTCGACATGATCCCAGCCAATTCCTGCTTTCCCTTCAAAACCGGATTTTTGCGATAGATGGCTGTAATCTGGATACATGTCACTGTCTGTCGCGGGAATTCTCAAAAACCACCGAGGCTTGTAGTATAGTTACCTACCCAACGCAACGCCAACAGGAGTTCACCCGCGATGAGCACATCCATAGCGTGACCCGTGACTCATGAGGACTGAGAACCATGATGCAAGGAGTCAGCCCTGTCTGTGGCTTCATCGATGGCCGGTCCGTCGTCCGCTTCAACCCAGTTATTCCCTGCCATCAGCTTCTCGGTATCGTCGATCGCTACCTTCCCCCGCAGCCAGTCAAAGCCGGTTTCTGTCAGCCGCCAGCCCCAAGCCGTGGATGGGTCCCCCGACTATGGCGTAGCGGAAGCTCGAGCGAATCGCAGACTTTGTCCACGCCTATTCACGGCTCGCGGGAAATGCGGTATCGCACGTTTCACATTTGTTACATGACTTCGGCAAACTGTGGTGCGGGTTTTTTCACTCCCCATTTGGCTATATTATCAAAATCTCCGGCTTTTATCTTCAGGGGCGGCGGCACGTACTCTCTTAATCCATTTCGTTGAAACTTTTTTTTTGGCTTTCCTGCTCACTGCTCACCTTCTCCCCAATTGATTTCGTTTGGCCACTCAGTTGATACCTATTTCTCCACGTTCTGCACTCGTATGCGTGATTCCCGACGCCACCACCTTGTGCAGTTTCAGGGAGTCAAGAAGGGATCTAGTGAAAGAAACACACATCACCGATTCATTTAGCTGTCCTTGCGGAGGTTTATATAGATCAGCATGTCAGTGACCCCTCGGCTGGAAGCCATGACAGACGGCATTTATTATTATCTCGAACTGGTGCTGCAGTGGCACCTTACAACATCTCATCTCACTAAGACGGTGCGACAAATGGCCACGTTGACATTGGCCATTTACTCCAAATAACTTGTTGTCAGTCAGCTTCCGCTCCTCATTTGTGCAGCACCAGGATGCGTTGCGCTGGATGCGACAAAATAATTTTGAATCGGCCCAGCATTTTAGATCAAGTCTTTGGGTAAAAGACTTTGCACCTTTTATTTTTTATTTTTATTTTTATTTTGTTTTTGTTTTATTTATATTTTTTGGTTCATATCACTGAGATACATTATGTCTCGAATAGCGGAGCATATTGCTGGTATATTTTCCGTTAGATCGCCAGGTTTTCATGTGTTCCCTTTATTACTCCTGTGGTGCGGAATCATTTTTCAAACTTCAGCTGCTTGGAGACCACTACTCTCATATACCTCTGATTACTGCATCGAGGGAAATCGAGTCACTCTAGGCATCCTTCTGTTGACCACGATTATACGCCTATGAATTTGGTTTCTATATTTGTTTTATTCTTTTCTTTTTATTATTATAATATTATTATAATATTTTTTATTTTATATTATTTAATTTATGATGTCTGTCTGCTGTCTTGTAGGCTTTAAACTATCTCTTTGCCTCTTCCGTCTTGTGAATTATTATCAATGGCTTCTGGATAGTCATGGTTCTTGATTCCAGGTTACGAATTGCCAGAAGGAAGATCCCATCATCACTGATATTATCCCAATTGGAGGAATTGCCGTGCAGCACCAAGCGCGGAAGTTGGCGGTGGGTTATGGATTCTTCCCAGCGAATGCTTAGCTAGATATCACTGATTTGATTTCCAAAGAACAATAGAATAGTCGACTGTCTACTTTGGCTACATACAGCATACAGCGGGACACTCATGCTCTGATGGATAATGTCTGGTTTGAAGAGGATATCCTCCAGGGCGTGGAGTGCAAATGTCGGGGAACTGATCTTGACCCATGCGGGTTGACATCCTTGGGAGGGGTACAGCGAGTGATGAACCCTTGGGAGTTTGTGCCCGAATAAACTTCTTTGTAGCGCGGGAAACGAGGCAAATGGTTGGGAAGAGCATCGAGAGTTTTTTTTGGGAGCTACTGTTAGTTCCACGCACCACCCTATTTTAGACACGCAAAAACTACAAGAATTTTGGTTTGATAAACAACTTCAGCTTCTTACCCACAGCGTCTTTTTTCGATCTGCAACCTTTTTTTATTTCTCCCCTCACTGCTGAAATTGCGTGGGGAGCCCAAGCCAGGTAGCACACAATAGATTAATAAATGGCATTCACGGATTTTTTTTAGCCATCGCCAGCCTGTTCCTTTTGCTTCCCGAAACTTTGGCTCAGGAGCGACAAGCTTCACCATTCTTGAGGCTTGAAAACTTTCGTGAGAACAGACATCCTGTCTTCCACCAAGGGGTCGATTATTCGTGCTTTCTCATCTCGAGAACTAGATACATGCAATCATCACAGAAGGAAGAGAAAAGAGGAACAGAAACATTCAAAATCCAACAGAGGACCGTTCAACGGCGTTTCCCCAGTGGTTGTCGAGCAACCAACCAGTGTCACTGCGCAAGTATCTCAGCAGTGCCTCTTCTCCACCGTTTATTTTCTTGCTAGGGAGCTGGAAAAGGATAGATGTGTGTTGTTCACATGATCATCTAAGCGATTCTTCTTCGACATCAACAACTGCTGGGCCAACTTTGATGCTTGGGCAAATTTTGCTGCTGTCGTTCCTCTTGTCTGGTCCTCCGGCATATAATTTTCGACCCGTTCCCATCATCGCGCTAAGCCTGGACTGGGCCACCCAATGACACCGCCTTCATCCACGCACCACCGTGATTCCTACCACATCCTCCCTCAACTCTCTTTTCACCCGCATCCTCCTCGCTTTCCTGACTTCCACCTTCACGTCTTCGCTGGGAGCGCTGCTCTGCACCACGGCTTGTTAGCAACCAGACAGGTTCAGACGGGGCATCCATCCCCTGGATCTGGTTTATGTCCGTAATCTGGTATCCGTTCATCTCGCTAGGCTAGTCATAGACGGTCCGTCTGTTATCAATCAATCAAATTAATAATTATCAGTTAACACAACATCTGGGCCGTCTAAGCAACCATCTCTACTCCACCTCTTCGCCAACCTCAACTCTGGCAGTAACATCAACATCAAGGGAGACAATCAATCAGAATATTTACCGGCACCTTATCTAATTTTGAATACTTGCTGCAATCGCGGACTAGTTGATACTTAAAAATACTATCATCCTGCTCATTTCCTATTGTTCGCCCTCTGTTTGATCATGGCTCTCCATGACGATGAGGATGTCCAGCCGGAAGCAGTAGCCGACGCAGTGACTGCCATGAAAATCAAACGTGATAATTCAGCAGAGAGCACACCCATCAACAGCACCCATGCATCAGATTCTGCGAATTATTATCCCAATGGGTTTTCGAAGTCAAGCCCCACTAAAAGTATTTCCAAGACAAAATCGCAAAGCGGGAGCAGCTCTCCCGCTGCGAAAGTCGAAAATGGGCAACCTGAAGAGAAATTGTCCGCTTCCATAACCGTCAAACTGGAACCTGGCCAACCGCCAAAGCTGTCACGGGCCGGTTCACAGAAGGTGGTGTCTCGACCGGTGCCACTTTTTGACCATCTTCCAAACAGTACTGCTGAAGCTACCTCTACATTTCAAGTTATAGATGACTGCACGTATGCCAATAAATACATGGGTTATACGGAACATGCTATGGAGTGCGACTGTTCAGAGGAGTGGGGTAAGCTATAACTTTCTTTTCCTTATGCCCCTACTTAAATGCGTAACGAACAAAACCAAATACCTGTACTTTTATACCCCCAATTCCTCGAACTAACAGCTTAATGAATTTGTTTCTTATGATGCGACGCGTTATATCAAATTTTATCTCATATGTCTTTGACCAAGTCTCTGCACGTCTTCATGCTGATAAGAATTTCCAGATCCTGTGGCCGGCAGAAATGGAGCTTGCGGAGAAGATTCAGATTGCATCAATCGAGCCACAAAAATGGAATGTGTTGGAGACTGCGGTTGCGGTGATGAATGCCAAAATCAACGCTTCCAACGACGACAATATGCCAACGTGACGGTCATCAAAACCGAGAAGAAGGGCTATGGCCTACGTGCTGATTCCGATTTACGACCTCATCAGTTCATATTCGAATATATAGGCGAAGTCATCAACGAGGCAAGCTTCCGGAAACGCATGATTGCATATGATGAAGAAGGCATCAAGCATTTCTACTTTATGTCTCTCACCAAGGGAGAATTTGTCGACGCCACCAAAAAGGGTAATCTTGGGCGCTTCTGCAACCATTCGTGCAACCCCAATTGCTATGTCGACAAGTGGGTTGTGGGAGAGAAGCTTCGAATGGGCATTTTCGCAGAGCGACACATCAAAGCTGGCGAGGAACTAGTCTTCAATTATAATGTTGATCGTTATGGAGCTGATCCACAGCCTTGTTACTGCGGGGAGCCAAATTGTACAGGCTTCATTGGTGGTAAAACACAAACTGAACGTGCGACGAAGCTCTCCAATGCTACCATTGAAGCCTTGGGTATCGACGACCCGGATGGTTGGGATACTGCTGTGGCGAAACGGCCGCGCAAGAAGAAGACTGGCGAGGACGATGAAGAATATGTCGACAGTATGCAACCTAGGTCGTTGAACGAAGATGGAGTCACCAAGGTCATGGCTGCACTGATGCAATGCAAAGAGAAATGGATTGCTGTTAAATTACTTGGACGCATTCAACGCTGCGATGATGAGCGTGTACGAAATCGTGTCGTCAAGATGCACGGATACCAGATACTCAACTCCCAGCTGAGTGCCTGGAAAGACGATTTCAACGTCGTACTCCAAATTCTCGATATCCTAGATAAGTTCCCGAGACTCACTCGAAACAAGATCATCGATTCGAAGATCGAGGTGACAATCAAGCCCCTTACTGAGTGTGGTGATGAACGTGTGGAAAAGAAAGCAGCAGCTCTTCTGCAGATCTGGTCTACCCTTGAAATTGGCTATCGAATTCCACGGATGAAGAGAGACCCAACAGCTTCTAATAACACCACAGCAGTTAATCGGTTCGAACGACGAGAGTCATCTAGAAATGATGAAAACCAAAAGCCAAGATCGAAATCTCGATCTCGGTCCCGATCACGCTCGATCGATGCACCCCGTGCCCCAGCTGCCCTTCGAAATGGCAAAGGTCCTCCTCGCAATTCATACCACCACGGACCAAGACCGTTTCGACGACCGCCATTTGCCAATCCTCTACCTCAAGGTTGGTTTGCGGCGGAGTCGAATGGAAAGACCTACTATTATTCTGCATCAGGTGCTACGACATGGAAAAGGCCAACAGCACCGGCACCTCAGCCGCCTCCACCCCCCAAACCCGAGTCCAAGGATAAGGCCTTGCAGGATATTATCGATGGCATTATGAACGCTAAAGAGAACACACCGAAAACACGAGATAAATCGGAGACTCCTGCTACCTCCAAACCGCGAGATGCAAAACCCCCAGAGATAAAGGAACACAAGGAGAAATGGCGATCGTATAGTGAAGAAAAGCAGAAAAGGCTGTATGAAAACACTGTATGTGCATGCAACATCTATTTAGCCTACATGGAGGTTGACGATACTGACTTGTGATTGCAGATTTTCCCTCACGTCAAGTACGTAATGGATAAATTTAAACACAAGTTACCGAAAGAGGAGTTGAAACGCTATGCTAAAGAGGTATGGCTCTATACATGGAGAAAGCGCAGGCATTGAACAGCTAGCTTACTGACGTAATTATACTCAGGTGGGGAAAAAGCTCGTTAATTCGGATTTTAAAAACCACCGCGTGGACGATCCAACGAAAGTTAGCGACAAACAGATAAAGCAGATTAAAAGGTACTGTAAGGAGTACTTTGATAAAGCGGTTGCGAAGCACCTCGCATACGAGAAGAAAAAGGCGGAGAGGAAAGCAAGGGAAGCAGCTAAAGCAACTGAGGGCGGCTCAAGGGATGCAACCGAAAATCCCGAATTATCGCAAAATCCAGAAATAAAGGATAGTAAAAAGGAGGAAAGTGATGTCGAAGAAGATATAAAGATGTCAGATGATGAGATGGACAAGTTGGAAGATAAAAAATCATCACCAATGAGCCTCGACGAGAATAGTCTCAAACGCAAAAGAGATGCTGATGGATATCTTGATGTGGATGTCGATACAGCCGGTGCCTCGCCTTCAAAGAGGACAAAATCGTCTACGCCCCCTCCACCACCTCCTCCACCTATAGATATGTGTGAAGATGTAGCGAGAGACAGCCATAAGCGTAAAAGAGACGAAGGTGGTGACAATGGATATGGTAGCAACTGCTTCTCGCCGGGCAAAAGAACCCGGTCAGAATCACCCCCTCCTCCGCCTCCCCCACCTCCACCTGCGGATATGTCCGAAATGTGCGACACTGGCGAAGATCAAAGTAGGGGGGATGAGGAATTTTGCATAGATGAAAATATCGACGTAAACATGAGTAGTCTATAAGCGCCACACCCCTGGATCATGAAAATGCAAATTGAGTACCGGGAAAAGATTCATATGGGACCCCTGAACAGCAAATATCCCTGGATGCTTTCCATTCTCTGCCCGATGAGACAAACAAAGAAAGTGTTGCTGTGGATGTCGAATCTTGTTCTTCTTGACAGCGTCAATGTCAGGGTGGAGATCTATTCACCCTTTCCATCCAATCCCTTGCCTTTGAGGACCTGTGGCTATGTTGTCAACTTCAATTGATCAGATTCAACCGCATAAGCCTAACATCGCTGATCACAAACTGGTACTAACAGTTGAGTTTCAGCAAAGGCTCATCCTCTCATATAGGTCATCATATCTTCCACCCTTTGGCCAGGTCTGCCCATACCCTAGCATCTGGCAATCACCATACCTTCCGTCCCGACTAAAAACACTCCCGCGCAAACCCCCAGAGGCGAAGGCAAGAATAGCACAAAAGCGGAAAGGAATGATGGAATAAGACAGCAGTCTATGGGCTGGGCGTGGCTACTCTGCCATGTCCTCCAATGCTGACCCTTCTAGCTATATAGCTAGCTTCAGTCCCTAGTTCTGATTCTTGAACTTGAACTTTACATATCGCACTCTAACCCTTCAACCTCTCTCCTATCTTTCTCGCATAAAATACCCATACACATGCACACGTGTCCGCTGAATATACCTCCTCCTATTCCACGCATTCATCTAAATGTCTTTTCCATCATCTACCGCACCCCATTACGTCACGTTATTCATGCATCGTACTCTCCTGTACATATATCCATGATACTCCCTCCAGAATCCTACAATTCCCACACATTTCATTCAGATTTCTTTCTAATGTATCACCACATCAGCGCGTCAAACTCTATTCCATGCATAAAGTTTAGCAAATAAATTCTATAATACCTCAATGATCAGAAATTCAAAGGCTTCCGAAGAACTGACCTATCTACCTACAAGCAGTTGAACCCTCGTTTTCAACACGATATTTGAAAAAGACCAAAAGCCAATAAAGACTTTCTCGTGCGTGTAGTTTCTCGAATTCTGTTAGCGGAATAGAATACCATTTTCTCATCATGCTGTACTATGCTAGCCGCGTAAATGCATGCATTCAATTTTTATTCATATACGACCTGCTCCATCTCAATGTTCTATTGAGCATTAGAACCACTGGAATCATATGATTGGCAGATATGTATAGGTTGCTGCCAGGGACAAAAATGGAAATTGTCATTCTCTTGAACGCAAAGCAGAGTATTCATGCTTTGCAAGAATAAGAACAAAAAAAAAAACATCTATAAATCTTCGTAGCCCTCTTTGTCCATGACAAATTAAACAACAACCCACTCCTCTCTCAATTCCGTGCGGGAAACCCAGGACAAAGAAAAAGAGTAATGAAAAGACAAGACACAAAACGACACACGCCCTCCCTTCGTTGCTCAATAAAAACTCTCCACCAAACTTTCCTTATGCGTATTCCCAAACGCACCTATAAAGTTCTTCCCAGCAACAGCTCCAGGCGCGCCCTCCCCCAACTTAAACACACTTTCCACAACACTCAGCTCCGTCGCCGTCGTATCCATCCCCGTAACGGCCAACCAGTCATTGACGACCATCCCGGCACCGATGACGGGGGAGCCGCGGTTCACGCTTCCCGCTACCAGCGGCACTTGGACCAGCGACGAGAGCTCGTCTTGGTCTTGGATGGAGGTTTTGGGATGCACGATTCCGCCTTGGTTTGAGAGGGACATGTAGGAGCCTGTTAGGACGTTGTCGGCGATGGTTTGGCGGAAGACTTCGACGCCTAGCACGTCGGAGATTCTGTTTATGGGTGTTAAGTTAGAATGGAAACTATTTTTGAAAATTAGGGGGGTAGAAGGAGGGTTTTCGCCGGCGGGGGGAGAGGAACGTGGGGTTTGGGTACATTTCTTCTGTTTCACGTTCGATATCTGGATGGACGAGGGCGACATGGTCATTACAGCATATCACATTCCCGAGGGCTGTTAATCGCTCCTCAATCCGTTGTATTTTGACGGCGTCTGGGAGCGAGTTGCGCAGGTGCTGGAGCTCTTGGTCTGTGGTTGAGGTGGGAACAAGAAGGCCTTTGCGATTCCTAAGTGCAAAAGAGAATGGAAAATGGTCAACTTTATTGCTGCGGCGTTGTAGAGGACTGGGAGTAGGAAGAGAGAGGGGTGTGGAGATTAAGGATGATATGATATGACATACCCTGCTGTTAATCGTCCAACAATTCTCGTTCCGGCGATGGTAGCATGACATATTGGGATGACATCTTGCAATTCCGCTTCGAAAACGCTGGTTGTTTGGAAGAGAGTTAGTTGGCTGCTCTATAATATTTCCCATCTTCGAACACATCAGACCAAAGAGCAGATATCCACTTTTCCACACCCATTCTCTTCTCTTTCTTCTTCCTCTTCCCCACCTGGCTCGGAGCCAAAGCATTTAAACCGAAATGAAGAACAAAAACACAAACATACCTGTAAAAGTTTTCTGACGAGCCAATGGCAACCAGAGCATATGAATTCGTCAACGTTGCGAATACACCAACCCTACATACATTAAGGGAAATCATTAGCCAAAAGAAAAGATAGGATTACGACAATTCAAAAAAGATGGATTTGTTACATAATCGAAATCCAGTTAAAAAAAAACCTGGAGAAAAAAAGATAAAACAAGATAGAATTAAGGTGGTGAGGGAAAAACAACGTCCAACAAAAAACCCGGAAAAAGGAAAATACTCAACTCATTCGAATTCTCAAACCGAGCACGAACCGCCATGATTTAGCTGGATCTTTTCGTTTGTGTCTTCGTCTGTCTATTTGTACTGTGAATAGAGATATAGCAAGTGGACGACGCAACTTTATCTATTTTAGTTGTGCGGCGCAAGGTTGTTCGGTGATAAGTTTGTAGAGAAGAGACAGTCGCAAGTGATGCGATGTAAAATGAGTTGTTGGAATTGTAATTCGATTTTTCGTCCTTTTCCGTTTCTGTTTCTTAATTCCTGTGACGTGGGGTGGTGGAGGTGAGGTGAGGGGAGAATGAGGGGGTAGTTGAGAATTAGTTAGTTACTCCGTAAACTAAGTATGACTATGGAGATGCCGCTTCTGAGGGGATTCGTGCCGATAAGATGTGCTGTTTGTGGAATATGTGTGTATAGTACACCAGAAGCCGCTGGATGGAATTCCCGCCGTATATAGAAATATATATACCTTAGCAGGAATTCAAGTTGTGTCGTTCGGATGATGAAAATACCGGACTTTTCTGTTGTTTGAAGGAGGCGATGTTTGACTGGAGGCTATAGTTGGATCAGTCAGCAGAAGGTTGTGCGGGGGGAGTATTGTAAATAATGGTATGGGAAGTGTACTGGGAAAGGGCTGGTATTGTGGTATTGCCTGGTAATCTCCGTATGTTTGACTCTCAAACAACTCTCTGTGATTGCGGCCAGACATGAAGCGAGTATATATATATATATACCTGGGGAAAATAATAGGAAAAGAGATAATAGTAAAGATGATTTTTTGCCATGGGAGTACCTACACTAGTTGCTGAGTCCTACTCCGTACATGACTCAAGATGACTATTTTTTTTTTCGGCCTTTTTGCTGTTTCTGCGCTCCACTTCTGCACTTGATGGTTTAGTTCGGCATAAACGCCACGACATCGAAATCGAATGAATTCGAAGTGTCACAGCCCTAATCATGATCCTGCAGCTACCGAGTTATGATTGGTAGCTCCCTCTCTTACCATGTTTTCTGTCTCCTGGCCCAATCTGAAAACCTCTGCTCTCGTCAAACATCATTTACTTAGGTATGAAAATGGGATTTTGTATATTATTGTTGAGCGGGTCACCGTGACTGCGAATACAAGACTAACTGGGGATATCGCTAAAGCGATATCGGATATAGCTTGAATCTATAGAATGCGTGTATGACTTATGACGTTCAAATCTATGAAATGCAAAAGAGGGGGAAACAATTGACTAAAACATAAGAAAAATAATCAAACAAAACGGAAAGCAGGGATATCAAACTCCTCCCACCATGACAGCCAGCCGCTGTCGAAATTAATAGCCGACGGCCCGGAACCCTCTAGTAGATTTGGCTATCTTTATCTCCAAATATAAATAAATAAATAAATAAATAATAAAGAAATAAAAAAAAAATGTGTACTCCTATATGCATGGGAAACCAGAGGAACTAATAATGAACGGAGAAATAGCGGGTAATCCAGCAGGAACAAAGGACACGCGATAAAAGAAACAGATTAAGGACGAGCAATTTAGTTTCTGGGGAGGAGTGGGGTCATGTATATATAGTAACGAATTTCGGGGAGGACTGTTATTTGCATCGTCCGTAGACAGCGCAATAACAAACGTTTTCATTCGGACAGCTAGTTATCCGTGGGAAACAGGAAAATCTGTTAGTTGGTATAAAATAAAGAAAGAAAAGAAAAAATAAAAAATACAATACAATACAAGGATGAAAAGAGCAAGGAGAACGAAAAGAAAAACTCACAACACAGCATCCTTCCCAAAAACAATATGCCACAAATATTCCATGACACGCCCACTGCTCGCATCGCTCTTCTTCGTCTGTAAAATCCAGTCGCGGAAATGGATATAGTCTTCCACGGGCCTCTTGCGAATCTGGTCGCGCGAGACGGCAAACTGCGCACAGCAGGCTGCTGCCACTTCTTTGGGTTTTTCCATACCCTGTGGTAAGGGGTTGTTGTTGTCGTCGTCTCCTGCGCCAGCTCCTTCTTCCCCTGTCGTCGTTGTCCATGCCGTCGCTGAAGAGGAGGAATTCCGCGGTGGCGTGCTTGTCCCCCAAAAGATTTCTTCCCACACCTCCTGCGTCACATGTGTATTTATCCTGTGTTCCTTTTTACAGCCTGGATTCCACTTACAGCGCAGGTTGACATATCCCGAGCGCTGGACGTAGTCCAACTGCAGCATGCGCATTGCGAGGACATTATTGTGCAAGGGTGCGTCGACGTGCCATGCCTGTAGTAATCCCGATCGGTGCGAGTGAAGGAATGCGACGGTGCGGGGGAGTTTGTCATAGTTGTCGACTATGTAGGAGAGGTAGGCCATTGATTCGTGGCCTTTGTTTGCTGGGGTAGTGAGGGCTTGCGGGTCTTTTAGGGTTTGCGGGGATGGGTTGACTATGTATATGGCTCTTTGCCAGCTATATTTTGTGTTGGATCGTTGGTTAGATTGTTGAAAGTGGTTTGGCAACAGATCTAAACAAAACAACGGGGAAATAAAAATATATACTCTGGAAGTTCCTCCTGCACCCAATCAGTATCTTCCTCCTCCAGCTTAGCCATAACAATGATTTTGTCCCCCGCTTCAACATTTTGGGCTGTCGTTGAACCTTGCGGGAAGTTGAGAGTCTCCGGGTGGAAATGCGCATTAAAGGAGTCAACAAAATAGGATCCCCCGCTGTACTGGTCAAGGATGTCTTCGACGTGCTGTTTCAGAAACCAGAGAAAGATGAGGATTAGACAGGCTATGCTGAAGGCGAAGCGGAGACCGCATTTCATCGTCAAGGAAGGGGTTTGCCCGAGGGCGAAATATTGATGTCCCTGGTCAATACTGGAAGGGAGGTGGCAGGGAAATAGGCCGTGGGGAATTCGTGGGATGCGAGCGGGCCCTCATTTGTCACCCTGAGGTATAGCAGAAATTAGATAGATACAGAATACATAAATGAATGAATGAATGAATGAATCAGTGAATAAGTGTCAGCTCCATTAAAGGGTCAAGGGTGTTGATTGAGATGGAGATATGCAAAGGAAAAGATGGGGGTGAGAGTAAATCGGCGAAAAGGAAAAGCTCCAAGGCGCGGTTGCGCGATGGTGCCAGAGAAAATATAAAAATGAAGCCTTGGTTCCATGGGGAAGCCGCTGGAACTGTAACGTCAGCGGATAATATTATTATTCTATTCGGGCAGTTTTGCCGTATGGAGTTGACATTTGTGGTTGAAGCCTGAGCTTGAGCCTGAGTCTGAGTTGGGGTTCTGAGGCTCTGAGCTAACAAAAAGGATATAAGCATCCTCCCTCATGTGCATACCCATACTGTGGAGATTGATCCACGCGGCCTCTGGACATTGCTCTGCCGAAGGGATTCGTTCAGGCTTGGCGGAGATCCGGCTATGCCCACAAGCCCGTTGAAGTTATTGGCTGCAGACGCTGCCATGCTTTAGGTCCTAAGTACCACTGCAACATCGTCCCCCTGTACATCTTACTACAGCGCTAGGTTGGTAGGCGGAAAAGGACCTTACTCTGAGACAATGCAATTGAAATAACTGTAGTTAGTTACTGAGAATTCGTAGTATCCAACATCGTCAGAAGTGAAGTCATTCCGTTGCCGAGTGGCTTTCATTCTTCGGCCCATGCATAGTTGTCTATATTATCGTTTATTGCGCCCACGCACTTTGCTTGCTAGTAATTAGGGCACATAACTGCTAACTACGTCGGAGCAAGTATCTACACATGGATGTTATACTATAATGGAATCTCGGAAGCTGTCAAGCATGTAAAACAGTTATAACTACTCTGTAGTAAAGTTGGTTTAGTTAGGGAGGGTTAACTTTAGTTAAGTAGTTTAACTAACTACGTTATATTAATAACTACCTCCTTTGACTAAGCCGTGGGGAAGTTCAAGCTCAAAACCAACCACTCAAATATATCGTAATAAAAAACCCACAAACAACCCCTTAAATCCGCAACATAAAGGGGGAAATAATCAATGCATCCCTTTTCATACCTGTCAGCGCTTCTCAATCTCCTGTGAACCAAGTTAATAGATCAGTGAGAGGTTTACTCCGTTCTCCACTTCCATTGATTCTGATCAAACTCCTCCAGCTCCAGGAATCCCCAAAACTGCCAAGGCGAATGACTGATGTGAGACGTTTGGATCGTCTCTGAAACGGTTAGCTGGCCTTCTAACCATTCATTCTCATGTTTGGCATCTGGGCTTCCAATCGAACCAGTTATTTCTCTGGTAATTACTCTCGACAAGTCCCATGAAACGGTTGCTTACGGTGTAGAAATAATTGCATAGTACAGCACTAGTTAACGCGAAAGTATTGGCAAACCCTCGCTGCCTTCTAACCAGAGGAGTAACTCTAGCTCCACTCCATACTAACTAGGTAGGTCGGCTTATTGCGAATGTTATTGAATGAAGACCCTGACACATATAGCGGACCGTTCCTCCATATATCTCTACCACCTCTCCCGGAATAATATAAACACTAAGTATAATAAAGAAAGAGATACATGCGGTGTACGCCACTCAATTAAAGGTCTAAATTCGGAGGGCTTTGCATGTACATGCACAGATACTTACCCTACACTAAGGAGCTCTCACTCTCTCTCTCTCTTCGTAACTCAGAGAAAAGAGGGTATATGTCAGTGACACGTCTATTTATAGCCTGCCAAGATATCAAGCTTCTTGATAATACTCCGTATTTGGTGAACAGATGAATTGAGATAATCATTATGTGCCGCAAAGTCTACAGAGATAGGTTTGGATCGACAGCCATAATAACTATCGGAGTAGTTTAACCATCACATACGAGTGGCTTACAATCAGTGGTTGATTTCCAGTTCTATGGAAGACGAAGAGAAGAAAAACAATGAAGCAATAGTTCGGCCATGCAGGTCGTATCGTATCTTCCTGGAGTTTTAAATTCATCGGATGAAGGTACCGTGCAACTCATGGACTGGAATTGTCAGCTTAGGCGTTAGCAATGCTCATATAGTTATATCCCCGGAGCCATCTCCGGCTGTCATAGCATTTGACATTTTTTTGATTAAAACCGAACAGCCCCAAATCGGAATTTCAGCCAGGAGCAACATTTGATAGACGTAGAAACTACTACTCCATAGTTAGCTTGCTGCAACTGAAAATCAGTTTTGAACGCAAGAAGAAGCGCACCATGTGTCATCATGGGTAGAAATAACCACCTGCATAATTTCCAAGAACCAGAAACGCAAGAGAGGGGTAGTTATAGATGGCCTTATCATTGGCTAGGAGCTTTAAAAATGACGTAGAAGACCTTTATTAAGGCTCTGGGTGAGTGCATAATTATTGTTGGTTATGACGGTTAAAGTTCCAAGGCACATTCATTGTTTTTTCAATATTTCGCGGAACGGCATAAATTAACTTCGAATCCATTCTAGACCATTTGACGAAACCATGGTTAACGACCTGGTTTTATAAATGAAATAGGAACATCGAGAACATCCCGCCCTTCAAGCAGCACGACCATGTTCAAAACAGGATTACTGGGTTCTGATTTGTGAGGTTAATGTTCTTCATCGACATTTAGTTTTTGAGATACGTGATTTCCTCCCGCTGAAGTCTCCAAGGTCCACAGATACCTAAGAGGCCCAAACCAGGGGTCAAGTTCCCGGACCTAGCCGATATCAAATCGTCATTGTGGGCCTTAGTTCGCAGTCCAGATCCACTGCGCCTCATAGGGTCACAGTTGATCATGGTTTAAAAGGTTGAACGCGATTTATAAGTTGGGCCCACCTCCCATCTAAATTAAACAGTCGACATTACTCATATATCTCTGTTCAGTCTCACCGCCCTCAGCACCCGGATTAGGTATGGTTAGGGTTAGGGTTAGGGTTAGGGTTAGTTAGGAGTGACCTTGAAGAAATATGATAAGTTCAACTACCATCAAGAGCATATCTACTAGAGATGTGCGGTTGAGCTGTTTTGTGTGTGTGTGTGTGTGTGTGTGAGAATATGACTGGTTGCAGGCGATTTTAATGAGGGGTTGTCATGGTCTGAATGTTAAACCACGCCGATGGTTTTTCCGGCCGAAATTTAAAACCACGCTCAACTGCAACCCCCCCGGCTCATTACAACAACGATAGTGCAACGGTTGGATGTTGGTGGGCGGGACAAAACCTCCGAAAAATCCCTTCCAGCCTTGTGGCTTGCATCAGAAGTAACTAGCTAACGATGACTGACTATCCTGACGACTTTGCACGATGGTGATTCCCGCTCATTCTCTGTTTCCTCATCGCATTCATGAGGTGCCGTTCGCGAAAGGCCTACTCCGTAAGTGGTGGTTGAGCTGGTCAGAGGCACAGGAGATGGAGGCCTGGCAAGTCCTGTCTGGATTTCCTTGGCCTGGGCCGGAGGCTAGGTTGATGCCTCGAGGCTATTTCAATACTCGTTGATATTATATATAGTATGGCTGCTAGCAACCGGGATCGCGAAACAAGGACCCCCGGCCTATTTTTTTTCACAGAGCCCCTGTTTCTGAGATGGCTGCTCCAGCGCTCTCCAATCGAAGTTGATCGTCCGTTTATCAGGAAAAAAGATGTGCACTAAAACACAATAGCTGCTCAACAAACCCATCTAGATTTCCGGGACAATAGCCAGGATTCAGCCTTTTAACTCCTGTTCCTGGATGTCATTTCGCTAAACTCCCGAGGTCATTCCTTGCTTTTGCCTTGACCCAACCGGTTTCTCATCCCCATACTTAAGATTAAATACTTACCTCCTGACAAATACAACAGGCACAGTGCGACCTCGACACCATTCAGATAACGCGCAGTTCGTCTTGTTGATGCTGGGTGAAAATGGCGTTCCTTATGCCCGTTTATTCCCCATGGTTTCGGGTCGATAAGACCCCACTTCAGCTGTCTCCTTCGGCCCCTCTGTGCCCTCAAAGTTTATCTTTGTTTTTCTGCTCTTGTTTATGTTGTGGAGTGTTCATGTGGTGCATGTAATATGGATAAGAATTATCTATACATATGTGATTGTGGTAGTTGAATTATAAAAAGCTCCCTTTGTCCCACATTGGGGTCCGCTGCATAAACAAAACATTATTTCCTCTTTCTTTTCAAGACTGCTTTTGTTTGAGAGGTTTACCTTTATTTTATCTTTACCCTTTTGTCGATATCGCGCGTTGTTGTTCATGTAGGCATCGCGTCTTTCTGCCGATGGCAGCAGATACACCTTTCTGACACCGGTTGTGGTTTTACTGAAGCATTTATATTCTTTGGTAAACCCCATGTTCAAAGACCATCCGTTTTTCTTGGACCAACTGTGCGCCGGACTTGACAGTCTTCGAGCCCTCTCAGTCGAATATTCTGTGTTTAACGGAAATTTGTGGAGAATCTCCTGCCTTTGTATTCGAACCAAGCGTGGGTGACGTTCAAACCGCAGAATTTTTATCTGGCACGCAAGAATCCGTCTCTCTTTCAATTTGTTTTTAAAACCATCGGTGCGCCTACAGCTGCCTATTACGCAGGGGCGAAAATGCGGAGGTCTATTGTCCTCTTCTTCCTGGGCACGTCGGCAATCGTATGCACCGTGATATCAACCATTATAAACGGGGTATTCGCGGCATCGTTTGACAATGCAGTTTTTGGCAGGGCCCTCGTAGCATATATGGGCTTGGTTGTAACCGTTATCAGCTCCATTATTCTGGGGTTGCTCATCCTCTCGTTCACCAGGGATACAGTCAGGGACCGGGAATTCTGGAAGTCGTGGAGAGGATTAGAATTTATCTTTCTGGGCATAATCCTCTGCATAGACCTCATTGTTGTCGCAATTTGCCTGTGGTTGTCTGATTCCTTGCTCAGGGAACAGAATTCCATGTCAATCCCGCGTCGCACGCGGGCACTCTACAGCGCTTGGTGTGGCGTTTGGATTATCGCCATCATCTTCCAGGCATCATTCTACATCGGGCTCGCATTGCCACAGAATTATAATCCGGCCTTACGAAGCGACTGGATCTCTCGTATCAATTTTAGCACAGCCAGCTTTCTTCTGACCAATATGCGATTATTAAAGAGAACTGAGAGGAAGAGACCATCAGTCGCGCTTCAATGTGTCGCATCACTACCGCACCAACGCCCCCCCACAGCCAAAGTGGCTTCACACTACAACCCAAAGGAAATGGATCCCAAGTCGTCTCGATATTCAGGAACCTTATGGCCCAGTTCGCACCTTTTGAAAGGTTGCCAACCTAACTCCAAGATCTACCAGTACACGCACAAGTTCCAACCTCACAGAGGCGGCAGCAGCCCGCTGGAACAAGAGCACACATTCGATCAGTGGGACACATCCAGCGTCCCCCGCGAAATATACGACGCCCTCCTCGAATCAACTCTCCAAAACCCAAGTCATCTCAATCGCAAAAGCAATTCTAATTGCAATGGCAAAGGCGATAATGATCACAACACCCAACCACAAACTCAATCCCGCAGCCGAACCTCCTCCTTCACAAGTACAGCCACAACAATCGCCCTCTCGAAATCCCAGGATTACCACCAGCAATCCCCACAGCCCCCCCGAGCTCCACATGAAGACTCCATCCTCCCCGAATCTCCAACCCTAGCCTCCCGCTCTCTGTCAAACTCAGCCACGCCCTCCTCTTCCCCGTCCTCTTCCCCTTCTGCCCCGCACCAGTGCCAGCAGCATCAGCAGCAGCATCAGAACCAGCATTGGCTCCCGTACCAACATCACGACCAGTATCAGCATCACGATCCGCTCCCGCTCCCGCCCCCCATACTCCCCACCCTCCTAAGCTCCCAGTCCATGGAAGGCCACATCCACCCGCTCTTCCGGTCCAGTAGCCCCGGTCCACGCCCAGCAACCTCCAAGGGGACAGTGGTCGTCGCCTCGCCCGCCGCGGGCCAAACGATCACGAAGAAGGCACTCAGTAGGATTAGGTCTGGTTCATTCTCATCTTTTCCTGTGCCGAGCAGTCCGTTGGCGCAGGCAGAGATAATGGAAAGTGAGATCGATGAGGATAATGAGAATAGTGATGGTGTTGGAAATTGTGAGGCTGAGGAATTTGAAGGTAGAGCTGAAAATGGGCAGGGGGAGGTGAAAGCATCAGAGAAGCCGATTCCGCTGCCGATGCCGATTCCGAGATTTGTGTTGGCGGAGGGGAATGGGGGCAGGTGGCTGAATTATGAGAGGAAGAGTAGTAAGGGAAAATATACAGATGAGGGAGGGGGGAGGGCGGGGTGAAGGTCTCTGTACTAATCATGTTTTCTTTACGTCTTGTTTTGTTTACTTTTTTGGATCATAATTGGATTAATGATAATGATTCGGAGTGTGTATATATATATACAACTCTCACCTCTCTTTTTCGTTTTTTATGTTGCTCAAAGTTCCCTTCGGTTTTCTACTTTTCTTCGTCCTTGCCACTTGACTCCCATTTAGAGATGGATTGGAGTAACTATGGTTGAAAATATGGGCTGAATTTGTCTTCCCTTTCTATGTTTTTCTCATGACGGTTGGATGGGATGGGATGTTAGTATCCATAGGATGGGAATGGGACACGGGGTGCATGGGTGCATCGGCGGCATGGATCATGGTATAACTGCCTCTTCATCACCAAAACACAGCAGCGGGATGCCCCGAATCACAGGACCTCAAGATTATGAGAATTCATTTCTAATGTTTTTAGTTTTATTCCTTTTCCTTTGTAGGGGAAGAATTAATATTAAAGCAAAAACTGAATTCGATGATATCATTTGACTAACATTCTTGGATTCCACGCTAATTTGACCACGAATTCATCCATCCGACGCTGAGTTTATAATAACTCTTGTCCAAGATAAAAAGTATTAATATACATTCATATAAGGCAATTCCTGTTGTCAAGTCTCGGGAGAAGGAATTATCTGTTTCGCAACAGTACAAAATTGCTACAAGTCCGGAAACTTTTGCAGCAGATTTACTCAGATCTTGAACGGCCCTACCATATTTCTGTTATGCATGCTTCCTGGGCCTATCACCAAACTTGCGAAACTCGATCAGCGGAAGTTCGTTCCAAAGCTTTGGCGAAGGGGTGAAGATACCCCGGAAAGGGAAGGCCTACAAAAGACAGCAAATGCTGTTTGTGACAAGTGCGAGATTGGGACATCGATGAAAGACGAGCTACTCAGCTCAGACCCAACCTCCAAGAAAACACAGGCGTATCTCAGATGTCTTACACAACAAATAAGCTTGTAGCAGTTGTGGTCAAAACTCATGTATTCAATTCCACACATCCATGATGAAGGGAGCTGTGGGAAAGATATTCTAAACCCATTTTCTTGTATGTATATTATGTATATCTTTGCACCATAATGAATGTTTATTAGTATAATGACCAGTGGTATTGACAGTGAATGATATTCCAGGATTCCAGATATCTCTTCTTACTCAATCAGTTATTGATTTAGACATTATGCATCTTATCTGATTTCTGCAGACACATCAATTGACATCTTCCAACTCTGAGCAATTCAGAAGTATCTTCAGAAGTATCTTCAGCTCACTGCAAGATTACCAGTCAAGCTGCCCAATGTTGCACTATATTCAATTGATAATCCTCTGGTAGTTATGGCGCGACACACCGTCCATCGATAAAAAAAAAAATCGTTTCGAAGATTGGGTGGAGGGCAAAGGTACAGCCTACTTGTCATGGTCGCTGTTGAACTTGTCCAGAGAACACTCATATCTCATTGGCTTCGACGGTGGAAACACCGGACTGAGGGGTAGCCTAACAGAACAATCGCTTCTCCGTGATTTCCGGCGACCAGAACAGTTCCGGTTAACTCTTTCTGTTAGGGTATATCTTGGCTGGGTTTCCCTCAACTCTAGCGACGCCTCCAGCAGGATTTTGTTTTCGCAACAAAACAGAGCGCATGCTAGGCGGTGATGATTCAAACCTTTTCACATCTATCCGCTCGGGTCTAAAACCACATCTTCTTCAGAACCGGAATGTATCAAAAAAGATAGCTGTTGGGATTCAGATTCGTCGCACTTCAATCTTAGCTTTCTCTTCGAGCTTCCCTCGATCATTTGCAATATCATCAACTCGAGTACCGGGTCTTCGTTCTCGGTTCCAGCCAATGACGTCCCATTCTTTATATCGACTCCAGTATCGAGAATGTATTTAGTGGCCCAGAGACACGGAATCCTATCTTAGAATCATTGGTAGGAGGCTGAGTTTGGTTGACATCAGTTAATTTCGTAGTACGGTTCCTCTCACCAAAAAAACTTCTCACTAGATGTTCAGCACCGTAAATTCCAATCTTAGATGGTAGGGTAATGCGAAGGGAAAGTACGCTGTAGAGAAGAAGTGCTATGTTATTGTTGGAGCCTAGGCTTCCTATTATGGACTAGCGCACCGCACAATAGTATATAAGCATCCCTGAGATAGGCTACCAATACAACCACTTCAGACGTCCAACAGTTTATTACTTCACACCAGCGGAATCTGAGTGTTCCGAGTCACGTCATTGAAGACCTGTAATTTTCTGAAGTCATCGTCTTCGCATCTGCTGACTGAAATCATTCAACTGTTTCTGAAGCCAGTAGCGAAGTATGTTAATTAATTCGATAATCCGCGAAACATCCTACCACAATTTGTATAATATTATACATTTCACTGAGCCAATCCTCGAGATGGCTGTTGTATCGTCAAGTCATTCATGCAAGACCGCATTTAACGGCCAGGGTATTCCGCTAGTTCCCCTCCTCAAGACCGACCGTAATGCTAATCCATGCGCATGAAAGTGATATCATGATCGACCATAAGGGGGCCTCTCCTAGCCGTTAATCAACGGCCCTTGGTAGGCAGGTGAGGGTAGCCTTGATTGGCAGTGTCCTTATCTTTCTCCTCAGGGGCAACCCGCAGCTCGCCACAGGTATATATTCAGGACACTTGATAGAGCTCACAACCAGTAAACCAGGGGGTGCTCCAACACTTCGCACGCTGTTGCCCGTTTTTGAGGATCCAAGTTTGTCATCCGATGGATAACATCCTTGAACTTGTCGTCCTTGGACATTCGGCCAATCTGAGAATGGCTTGTAGGAATGATAGTCTGCCACCTGATCATCCCAGAGAAATCCAAGGACCTGGCGGTTGACCCCGTCGTCACCAACGTGAGCCCATTCAATCCTTCTCAGTCCCCAAAAAAAGAAAACCTGACGTTGCAGGCGAATGACATGAGAGAATGCAATGCGCCTTGCGATTCATGTTTCTGCAGATCCTCATCGGCTCTAAAGATGGCTTGTCCGAGCATAGCATAGAATCAAGAAGCAAAGCAGGAAATGGAATAAAAAAATCAGAGTTAAACAATGTTCAAATCACTACCAAATTGTGGGTAGAACTAGCAAGTGCAAAGACATTTGAGAGCCACTCAAAGGATATGATCTAATGCTGTGTTGTTATCCATTAAGATAGTTACAATGCTGATCATTGGGTTGCGTTAAATCAGGATGTTATGACATTACTGTTAACCAATAACTACATGTTCCTGATTCACCCAAGATTAAGCAAATTCCTGATCTGGTTGCTCTCCTTTAGAATCCGGCGGGCCTCTTTGGCATCGACTCCCAGGTCCTCCCCAGCCAAGTTTGGGAACCAAGACCTCCTGGGCATACACAATGGTCCCATATTTCAACACCACACTATTGATGCCGGTCAGTGAGTCGACGGCATCTTTAAAGTGAGACGTGACATGTGCTGAGCTGAGGGGAAGGTCAGTGAAGATGTTCCTCAGTGGGTTCGCGGCGGTGTGGGGGTGTGTGTGTTTCTTAACTCACAGGACCTCATGGCCTCTTAAGGCCATAGTAGCCAGTGCTGTGCAGGACACTCCAGGAGAGAATTTTCCTGCCATGCTTCTGCACTTTCTTGTGCACAACACTCCTATAGCGGGGGCAGTACCTGGAATCATCGAGGATTCAACACAGGTGAGGATGGAATTGAGTCAACCGATCATCTAGATGGTCCCACGCAATGATGGGATAGCAAAGTCAGTACCACTCACGCCGTGCAGTTTCCTTTCAGTGGTTCTCACAGAACCACAGCTGGTCGCTAACCCGCATGCGATTGTTGGCGGTATTGAATGCACTGGAAGCCTCCACCTCAACCACAGAATTGCACACTAAGCACATGGTGGTCACTGTTGAGGATGGAGATGGTGTGCGGGGCTTCGCATTCAGCATGGCCCTGTCATCTGCTGCTTGGGGTTGTCCACTGGGATAGCAATGTGAAAGTTTCAAGGGGCGTGGGCAGCTTAGATATTGGAAGAGGCTCACTGACTGCTGCACGACCTAGTACATTCACAAGAAGAGCAGGGCATCAGTACCAATTGCAACACACCTTCTAAGCATTATTTTTCAGGCTCACGACACACTTAGTTGAGGGGCTATAAACAGGGATCGGGTGGGCGCGCTTACAGTTCCACTCTTGCCTCTGCTTGTTGGTGGGGGGGTTGCTTCCGTGCATATTCTGAAGTTTTGTGTACCATCGCTGCCGCAAGGAGCTGAGTTGTCTCTGTGGAAATTGCTCCTTGATCTCTGTCCAAGAGAAGCCGTCCTGCTTCAGGGCCACTAGGCGGACCTCCTCCTCTTGAGTCCAGTGATGTCTTCTCCCGCCCACATCCTCAACCTTCTGTTCACTGTAATCTCTTCCAGTGTTGGCCGCGGCTGTCATCTCGCCTGCAAGATCTGAGGCGGTCATTGGACAGCCTGTGATCATCTCAAAAACAACTTGGGCCACTGTAGATGACAGCATCACAGCTTCCCCTCAGGCCAACAACAGCATAGGGCAACTACACCTCTCAGCTTCAATTGGAGGTTGTGAGTGGGTGTGTGTGTCTGGACCATGATCTATGTTCCAGGGGGTGGTGGAATGGTCCTTCACAGTCATTGTTTGCACCCTGCTGTCCTGCCATTTGACACCTTCATGACCTGCAGTGGCTGCTGCTCTTTGGATCTGATACCAAGGACAGCATGATGCAGGGCCAGATGGCTGTGTGGGAAGTCTGTGATGCTTTGAAGGTGATTTCATTGAGCCATCCTCTTCACTGCTTGCATGATAGTTGCCATCTGTATCATCAGAATGTGCACTCAAGCCACCTGTGTCGGACATGGTCATGTCATCTTCAACACACTGCAAGGGTTTCCTGGGAAGCTTACAGTCTTGGGTATCAGGGACCTCACTCCTCAATCGTGCATGAGACTTCTGTTGGCAGGTCTGGTGTCGGCTGCTTAGCCCATTCTCATACTGCATTGAGCTTGATATGGCTTCTTTGAGGCAATCCACAATGACTGGCACTTTGATAGTGACCATGAGGTGCATGGCACCAGTACCAGCCTTGCGCTGGTGTTTTCTCTTGTAGGGTAGAACACATACCAGTGATGGCAGTGCCAGCTTCATTGCTTCCACCATCTGCTTTGGGTGAGTGAGATATGGATGTTGAACAGCTGGAAATGTCTCATTTGGCAGGAGACATGAAGGTGCTGTCAACAGCAGACCCGTCTGTAGCACTGTCTTCAGAGTCTACCACAATTGGTGAACTGAAGGGTAGCAGGTCATCATCACTCTGACTGCTTCAGGGCCATTCTCATCTAGGCGACATATCCTGATTTGACCAGGTCAAATAAGCCAGCCTGCAGGATCAAATCCAGTACAGGTGTTGAAATGCTGCTGCCAGGAAGAGACTTTGTGCAGGTGGATCTGACCAGGTCGCATTCTACAGCAGTTGAAGGGTCTGGAAAGGATTCATCAGTTTTCTCCTAGCCTCTGTCCTCATCCCCAACAGGTAAACCTAGAAGGTGTCGTATTAGGAACTGGTCTAACCAGATAGAATAAAAAGAAGAAAGGGGAAGAGAGATAGTCAAACAGTATTAAAGAGACTTTAAAAAATTAAATTCAAAGTTATCAATTGTATTTTGATTTAATTCAAGAAATAGTTCAAAAAATTAATTTAAAAAATAAAAATATTCTACTTTATTTATCTTAAGTTACTTGCATTTGGTGGATATTCAACATGTAAGATATAAAATGAAATTAAAGTAAAGGTTTACATTAATAAAATATAAGAAGAAAATATTCTCTTCTATAATATAATTGAACTTTAAATATAGTTATTTTAAATCTTATATGAATAAACTCAAAAATTATATTTATAGATATAATTTTTATAATTTAGTTAAAAATTCAAATTATATTTTAGTAAAATTGCTTATTGAATAATGATATTAAAAAAAAAAATTTGTGATTTAATCTAAAATATAGATAAATAAGATAAAAGCTTCAATTCATCTATTTAACTAGACAGCTACAATGAGAATATTAAACTAAGAATTAAAATATGAAATGAATTGAGCTGTCAAATTTAAAAAAAAGTTGATTAAGAATTAAAGTAGATCAATCTTTATTTATATTATTAATAAATACATCACAATAAAATAAATAGTATAGTTTAATTATAATAATTTAAAGTATTTAAAATTAAGTAAGCATTATAATTCAATTTAAAATTTAAAATAAAAACTTTAATTTACCTATCAAATTAGATAATTATAACAAAAATATTAAATTAAAAATTAAAACATATACTAAATAAATAATTAAATAAAAATATATAATTAAAAATCAGAATAAATTAACTTTTAAAATATAGTAAAGTAAATTAATTTTAATTGATATTATCAACAGCTGTATTATAACATTAGTTCTTAGTTTTAAAATATATTTATTCTCAAGTAGATATATTAGAAGTAAGAAAAAAAAATAAAATTCATTAAATTTATCAATTTTCTTAATCATTATTTATTTAATTTTTATAAATTTTTTTTTATATTTTATTAATATTAAAATTATCATTTATCTTTTTTAGAAAATAGAATTTATTTGACAGTTTAATAGTAATAAAAGCTTAAAAAATTTAAAAATAATAGTTTTTAACTCAATAAATATAAGATTTATAATACATATTATAGCTTTCTTGATAGTATTTCTTCTGTTAAGAATATGAAATTAATATAACATATAATAAAGAATTATAAACAAAGTTAAAAATATTAAATTAAATTAAATTTAAATTTATAAAATCATAATAATTAAAATAAATAAATTAAAAAATATAAAATAAAATTAAATAAATAAATTAAAAATTAAATACTAAATAATATATAAATTTTTTTTATAAATTTAATAAAAATTTAACTACTAAGCTAGATAATTATAGATTAATATATTAAAGTATTAATCAAATTAAAAAAACTTTGAAAAATTTAATTAATTTTAAACTTTAATTTTTTAAAAAATATATTTAAACTTAGTAATATAAATTATTAAAATTTATTTAAATTTTATTTTAAATAATTTATTTTCTATCTTAATTATTTTATTTAAATTATTTTATATATAAGAAAATTAATTAAAAATAAAATTATAAATTTAATTATTTATCTTTTTAGCTTAAACTAAATAGAAAAAAAATTATTACTTATATATTTGAATTTAAATTCAAATAAATATAATAAAAATAATAATTTTTAAATAATTTATAATTTAATATAATAGTTTAAAATTTAACTTTTACTTAATATATTAATTTTAATAACTTTATTTTAATTTTAATTTTAAACTTTTAAAAATTTATAATTATAATTTAAAAAATAATTTATAAAAATAATATTTTTATTTTTATTTTTATTTAATTAATTTAATACTTTAATTTAATAACTATAAAATTTAAAAAAATATATATTAAATTAATAAAATATATTTATATAATTAAAAATTTATTAAAATATGTTGAATTTAATTTAATAAAAAATTATTAATAAAATTATTAATAATAAATTTAATCTTTATATTTAACTTTTAAATAAAGTAAAAAACTAATTTTTTCAAAAATTTATTAGATATAATAAATAAAATAAATATATTATTATTATTATTATTATTATTATTATTATTATTATTATTATTATTATTATTATTATTATTATTAATCCCATAACCTTTAATCAATAAATATAATATTTATATAG